GCCAGAATGTATCCGTATTATTTGCATAATTTTAATATAATTATTGTGCAAGTGATTGACTATAATTGTTATGTTGTTCTACCTGACAGCTCTGCAGCAACTCAAATAACAAATTATGTTGTAAAGTGACATCTGTGTTTGATATCTCATACTATCTGATAATGATAACAACGTATACTAAACAGGTTTACATAGTTTAGAAGTTATACACTAGATGGCGCTTCAACTAAAGATATTTTGCTAGCGTCCACTAGATGGTAGTAGGATTACTACTGTTAGGAATAATAAAGTTATCTTTATCCAATTTTTCAAAAAAAAAAAGACACAGGGCAAATTAATAGTGGCAAATAACTGATATTAAACATGACGAAATTGAAGTTTTTTGTCTTCATTAATTTCATTTGCTTAAATTAGGAACTGATAAAACCAGGAATAGATTTCATTATTTCCTTAAATATTAGAAGATATGTATGTGTTTATTTATTTATTCACTTATTTATTTAATAGTATGGATATACTTATTACTGTCAGAAAATGTGTAAAATACCTATATCAATATCATATCGATAATTAAAAAAAAAACTATTTTGAGCTAATCAGAACAGGATCGTAGCTGTTTTGTTTTTTGCTGTTTCCAATTTGAAGGCCAAGAACATATATCGCAAATACGGATTCAGAATGAACCTCATTTTTGGACCATAAACAAAAAATTTTTTGACCTCACTGTAATGACCTGTCATGAAGATCTTGCAAAACATTTGTTCTCATTCCCAGCTCGACAATCGTGGGTCATGTTGAAAGAAAAAAAAAATGCTTACCTCACAATAGACCCTATAACGATTACCTAAACCCCTTTTGTCTTATACAATGCCATAATGCAGTTAAACACTAAATTCATTCATTCATTCATTCATTCATTACGGCAAAAATTGGTTGTGATTGTGTAATTTGTTCTACGTTCAACGTCTTTCGGAGCGAAATCGAACGCGTTTAAAAATCGCGTTTTAAATCGAACTTCTGTTAATTTTATATTAAAGAAACTTTTGGCAACACATCTATCGAATGGTATCTAAAATAATTGCCAGTCGTCCTACCTAAATGTGGTCAATTGGTGCGTGAACCTTACTTCTAACACTAAGTATTTTCGAATGGGTGTTTATTATTTATTTATTTAAAACTTAATGCAAATTTTGTACAAAGGCGGACTTAATACCATGAGGCATTCTCTCCCAGTCAACCTTCAGGTGATGTAGACATTTTTATCCTATAGAGGTTGCTGCTACAAGAGAGAAAAATTTCATATAATGACTTTGGTCTTTCCTGCAACCATCACTTTCACTTAGAATATGAAAACTAAATTTTTAAATAAATTTGTGAATGCCCGTAGACTATAATCAATTAGCATTGCCTTCCTTTCGTCTTTGATTCGAGCCATCCGCCTCGTGCCTTTATTCACTAAACTGATTTATTCATTCGAACCGCAATTTCCCGCTTTCTTACTTAACCATATAAAACTTTTGCTGTAAGCTAACTTTATGGCCATTGTAATAAAATCTTATAAATCTGCAGAGTTAAGTTGGTGGTGATATTTTGCTACTTTTGTTCCTAGCTCTATTGTATGCAGGACACGTTTTAAGACTTGGTCAAGATCTTAACGCAAATACGAAGGAAAATTATTTCAAAAATCAAATCAGGACAGGAAAGATTTCGCCTGAGTGTCACAATAGGCTTGTGTCCATTAAGAATAAATATAATGGATAGGGGTTTATAATGATTAATTATATTATGGAGAAAATAACAAACAATTTTAATTATTAAAAGCGTTAAAGATTAATAATATTTTTAAAAAATAAATTTCGTAAAATGAAACCTTTAGTCACGTGACAGTGAACACCAATCAGAAAGCGTTACGTCACGCCGTGCGAAACTCCAATCTTGTCTTTGACGTTTCGAGTATCACTACCGGTTCTTTATAAAATTTTGGTTTTTAACAATTAATATCAAGTTGATACAGTTTTTGCTAATTATAATTTGAAAGAATTAACCATGGAATCTGGATTGGAGAACAACTTGGAGTACAACTTTCTTTGATTCATTCAGACACTCTTCTGTTATCATCTTTCTTTGTTTTTTTAGAATATATGGCCGTTCTGTACTGCTGCATGTTCGTTATCTTCTGTCTTCTTGACATCCAAATTTATTTGGCATACAACCTGGTTTCATGCGCACTTGTGATACTGTTCCCTTCCTATGATACTCCATATAATTAATCATATCATTTGGCAACTAGAATAATAAAAAGAGTATGTTTGTAACATTATTTAGAAAACTAAAATAAAACGTTCACTCCTAAAAGTGAAACAACTTAACCTGAACGCATGTATTTATTATTTAGAAAATAGGGATTCTACAAAACACATCTAGTTTGCTCGAATTAAGTAATAGATTGTATTGTGTGAAATACTTATATCAAAATGATCTTCACAAAAATACATTCTTGAACCTGTTGATAAAGTATGAGCATCATCTCTTCTTGCAAGTTTTAGCCACTTTTTCCGTATTTCTCCATTGTTTGGAACATATATAAATAACTTGTTTGGCGTTTTTATAGTCGTGCTATCACACTGGGGCACTATACAGTACTTGTAATATGAGAAATTCATTTTTAAACGATAAAAACTAGCTATAACGTACGAAGACACGATCGCTCTTTGGTTTGTTTCGCACGGCGTGACGTCATTCAAGACGCCATGATAGAGATGGACGATATACATCGATTTATTTAAAACACTCGATGTATAGTAACGATGCATCGTATTAAACCGATGTATTGTTAATACTTCAACATCGAATATATATCGATGTTTTTTATTCGATGCATCGACCAAGCAATTTATGAATGAGTATAGTGTTGTATAGCCGCCAAATAGCTATAGTTTATTAAACGGGGTTCTTTTAATTCGCCCGTTGGAACGCGGAAAATACTAGATTATGAATTCGCTTTAAATAAATACTCGCTGAATTGAACGAAGGAACCGACTGAAGGGGAAGAGATTAAGTAAACTTTTGTTTTTACATAGCATTGACAAAAAATATTGGAATATGTAAAGAAAAATGTGTTGGTTGTGTGATTTTGAATTTGAATAAATATATTTCCTGCTTTTATTAATATATATATATTTTTTTTAATTAAGGCCTAACCTAACCTAAAACACGTCATGGCGAAAATAATCGATGTTTAAGAAACATCGATGTATTTCTCAAAACATCGTATTACCATCGATGTGACCGATCGATGCATTACATCGTAAAAAACATCGATGTATATTTTAAATGTCCATCTCTACGCCATGACAGTCTTGTGCGTTTTGGAACCAAATTGAAATTGGTTTTTTAAAACGCGAAATTTATAATGTAAACGCTCGATTAAAAATAAATAAACCTTTTTTTCGATAAAATGCCTAATAAGCTAAAATATTAAGCAGTTATTGAAATTTTGTCAACTAGCCTATTAGGTCAACGAGCTTATTATTGTACATTGTTTTGTAATACATTCTTTGATTTATGAGGTAGATCTACAAACCAGATTAAGGCTGTAAATTACAATGACTATGGTTCTTTATTTATTTATAAGAACATTTCTGGACAAATCCAGATGATATTCGATCAAAGACAAAGTTCTCTCTAGCGTAGGTTATATTTTCTTAATCGTTTCATCATATTTTTTTGCATCAAATTCGGCAATATTTTACTATTAATCTATGTTTTTATATTACTCTAAATATCTTAACATACGATCCTGTATCATTAAAGCTTTCTATAGATTCTTAAGTATACAAGAAATTACGGAAACTACTGCAAGTTGTTTGTAAAAAAACGAGTGTGGCTTAGGCCAAATGACTGAAGTAAAACTTCTTGGCTATGAGAAAAAAAGAGAGAAAGAAAATGTTTGCTCGCACTTCTCTCTCTTGCCCCTACAGTAATATACCAAACGTAACTCTGTCTCTTTCTACCTTCACTAACTTATATCTCCCTCTCAACTTCCGTTCGCCTCACCCGATCAAACTTTTCGTAACGCGCTCGTCACGCATTCACCAGCTTACTACCCAAAGCATGCTTAAAGAAGTTTTTACTTTGAAAAGCTATACAATTTCGTAAAATGCAATTTTTTACAAGTACTTTTTAACCCCTGTGGCTGTGCTGCTCATAACATATCTTGGGCTTTTGATGACTTATTACTGTAGGTACTTCATATTCTTCATTTTGATAATGTAACACGTGGTGGTGTACCCAATTTTTTTCATAAACTCTATTAAAACTACATACCTGATATTGAATACACATACCTACATACCTGATATGATATTGAATTTATAGTCATACAATCTTTAAACAAAGATTTAAACTCTTTGTAATAATAAAAATAACGTGCATAGAAATAGGATCCTCCTTTGAGGTCTTCCTTTTGAGATATTCTTAGCTTTACTAATATTATAAAACTGAAGTTTTTTTGTTTAGTTTGTGGAACGCGCTAATTTCGGAAATTACTGGATCGATTTAGGCTTTTTTTGTATTGGATTGCCCATTTATCGAGGAGGGCCATATAACGTCTCGCTACGACGCTCAATGAAAAATTTTGTAAATACGGGAAAATTTATTCCCTTTGAGGGATGCAGACGATGTTGCCCGGGTCAGATAGTATTGTATACATATAAGACCACTTTAATTACATTTCACTTAAAACTTACCAAAACGGAATTTTGGGTTAAAGTTGCAAAAGCTTTCGTAGGCTTTGACAACAAGACGTGACCCTAATTCTAAACTGTTTATCTATATATATAAATGAAAGTCGTGTTAGTTACACTATTTATAACTCAAGAACGGCTTTACCGATATGGCTAAAAATTGGTGGGGAGATAGCTTAGAGCCAGGAGACGGACATAGGATACTATTTATTCCGTTCGAGTTTTTTTTTTTTACGAACTTTGCTTTACTCGGAGATGCCACGTTATTATACTTGGAATGCTTCATCGAAGAATTTTCAAAGACGGAAGCAAGGCGATGCGGTTCCTGGGTATCCGGATGTGCGTTCCACTGATGCTCTTGGTCGTATGTATACAGTTCATCCAAAGAATGATGCAACAACCACAAATAGAAACCTATTTGCGGTTGTTGCTGATAAATGTGCGTGGGCCAACGTCATTTAAGACACTACGGACTGTTAATGGTGTAATATTCCCAACATATCGTGATGCATGTGAAGAACTGTACTTATTAGAAAACGATACCCATTGGGATACGACAATCGCTGAAGCCATTATCTCTGCACCTCCAAGTCAGATACGCACATTATTCGCTATCATAATTTAGACATGCTTTCCATCAAACCCATGTAACCTGTGGCACAAATTTAAGGATAATATGTCAGAAGATATTACATCAAATTCGTATCACTTCCAGAAATCACGATGTTGAGATGAACGAGGAGATACATAATCGTGCTTTACTCTTGATCGAAGATATGTGTTACCTCATGTGCGGTAGTTTATTAATCAGGTTAGGAATGCCAGCGCCCAATCGTGAAATGAATGACGCATTTAATCGAGAATTGGAACGGGAACTTTAATATGATCACCAGGAATTAGATTTAGTAGTTCAAACGAATGTACCCCTGTTGAATTCCCAACAAAAGGAAGTTTATGATACTTTAATGAAGGCAATCGATGATGGAAATGGTGGTTTATATTTCCTAGATACCCCTGGTGGAACAGGTAAGACATTCCTCATGTCAGTAATATTAGCCACTGTTCGTGCGAGATTTAACATAGCGGTTGCAGTTGTTTCTTCTGGAATAGCAGCCACATTGTTAGAAGGATGCCGTACGGCTCATTCAGCATTAAAATTACCGTTAAATCTTTAAACTATTAAAGAACCAACGTGTAATATTACGAAAAATTCAGCAATGGCCAAAGTTTTATCGGCATCGAAAATCATCATCTGGGACGAATGCACAATGGCGCATAAACGTGCATTAGAAGCACTTAACCGAACATTGAAAGATTTACGGAATGAAAAGAGATGTTTCGGAGGAGCAATGATTTAACTGTCTGGCGATTCCCGCCAAACACTGCCAGTAATTCCAAGATCTACGGCTGCCGACGAAAGAAACGCTTGCCTCAAATCGTCGAATCTATGGCGCTATGTGAAGAAACTGCGGCTGACAACAAACATGAGAGTTGCATTGCTTAATGATACATCTGCTCAAGATTTCTCTGAGCAATTGCTGACTATCGGTAATGGTCAAGTACCTGTCGATGAATCGAGCGGATTGATATCATTTCCAAATAATTTCTGTAATTTTGTCTCATCAAAAGACGAACTTATCAACAATGTATTTAAAGACATTATTTCTAACTACAAAAATAATGAATAGTTGAGTGAGCGAACAATTTTAGCGGCTAAGAATAAAGATGTAGACGACCTGAACTATATAATTCAAAATAAGATCATTGAAACAATGCATTCATTCAAATCTATTGACTGCGTCACAAATGAAGATGAAGCCACCAACTATCCAATTAAATTTTTAAACTCCCTTGATGTGCCTGGCTTACCACCGCACAATTTACGCCTAAAGGTTGGCTCCGTAGTAATCATGCTTCGAAACATAAACCAACCAACACTGTGCAACGGTACGCGTTTGGTGGTTAGAAAATTGATGAACAATGTAATTTACGCGACGATACTGAAAGGAAAATTCAAAGGTGAGAAACTTCTCATTCCGAGGATCCCGATGATCCCAACCGATTTGCCGAATTTCCGATCCGTCTTGCATTTTCCATGACCATCAACAAATCACAAGGCTAATCCTTAAAAGTTTGTGGTTTGAATCTAGAACATCCATGTTTTTCCCATGGTCAATTATATGTGGCATGTTCACGGGTCGGAAGACCATCAGCGTTGTTTGTTTTTGCGCCTGATAAGAAAACAAAAAATGTCGTGTCTCACAAGGTACTTAAGTGAAGAGCAACCTATGTACTGAAATGCAGAAACAATAATAAATGATTAATGTACTTCATTTTTTTTCTAAGAAAAAAATTAACTTACTAAATTCGAAAATCGGCTTATTTATTGCCTTTAAGGCGGAACAGAGTTCGCCGTGTCAGCTAGTTAAACATAATAGTACTGTGTATCCATTGATGTCTAACTTTTAATACAAATCACATAGTTTTATAATTATCGAATATTATGGCAAATCTTAAAAGATTCCTCAAATTTAATAACTGTATTGTAATTTATCATCACTTCATTCAACGGGGATGGAAAACATCGTAAGGAACCCTATCTGTGTTTGAAGGGCACTAAGACCTAACCCATCACCTGTTGGAGGTCCATCCCGAGCAATGGCGACGATTTATGAGCTAGACTAATGTGGACATCATTGTATGATCCATCCAGATTCTATTTGAATGTGCTAAGTAAAATATATATACTATAGTATAATAATCTTTGTCTTTGGTTGATTATTTTATATAATTTTTGAACAAGATGATAAAAGTTTAAAAAAGTTGTGAAATGACGAGTATTGAAAAAAATTTGAAGTTCAAAAAAAAAGATAGACTAATGGAAAAAGTGAGTGAATTTTAATCCACATCTAAAGTACTGAACATATTTCAACTCTAAACCATCGATTTAAAATAGATATTCCAAAAATCTATATAAATAAACAAAATGTTTGTATCTTCGTAGCGGTTACAAAACCACACAATAAAATTGTTGTGGTAAATGTTTTTAACATTCATATCGTAAATTAAAATATTTTTACCAAACATAAGAATATCATATTAAATAATAATATTATAAAATATTAATGTTGATAAAATTAACAAGTATTAACAAATTTATCGTAAAATTATAACGACGAGGACGCATCCTTAGAACCAGTTATTCAATACAAGTAAATACACTGTTATATACTGCTGTTAGCAAAATCACACAATGGTTTCAATGAAACCTAAGTAAAGCTGAATTTAGTATCATTGTAACGAGTTTTAATACGTAATCTTCAATATTATTAATTTCTGTGCGATGATATCCTAAAGTAATGGCGAATTTGAGTCGTTTGGAAGAGTATCAAACATGGTTTGGTTGAAATTATATATATATGTTAGTTAACTAAAAAAGTAGGTTACATGCCCTCTGCAATACTCACAAGCTAAACTGATTTATAAATAATATAACATTTCAAAGTTCTGAGAATGTCCCCTTATCATTCTTAACTGACTTCAATTGCGATGAGGCGAGGGGGAGATTGAGATATGAGACAACGTAAAAAACTACTATACCAAAATAAACTAATTAGCAAAAGTTTGGCAATACTCGGCATGATAATAAAGCCTTAGGTCTATACAAATAAAAGGCATAATTCAACCCTACAAATTATGAGGGAAAAAAATGGAGTTCCGCTATAAAACTGTAACTCACGTGTGTTTAAGTTTCATAAAACCAATAAGTAGCAAAAAAATGTATGTAAAGACTGCTTGCTTGACATAAAGAAAAGATGTCAGTGTAAATGAGAAAAGTGGTTTGTAAGAAGAGGCACGCCCTTGTACCTGTCGCTTGGAGCGTAATTTAACCCGAAATGTACCGTAGCTTTACATCATCCTAACTAGATGGTGAATAAATTAATTAGTTACTGTAAACCCGTCTTAATTAGAGGTAACGTAACGCGTTCTGTTACTACCTTAGTATATTACGTTGTTACTAGAGTACTGTTACGGCAACCGTAAAGTTAACAACCTTTATAATCTAAAAAGGGATTTACAAATTTAAGGAAAATTTAAATGTATTGAAATTAGGTTTAACTTAGTTTCGAGATAATGCTCCATTATCGTTATCATTATCTCTTGATAATGATAACGATAATGGAGCATTCTCTCGAACTCGACTTTGATAATTCACTGCTGGACATAGGCCTAATCTTAAGGAGGAGGGTTTGGCCCACAATACCACGCTGTCCAGACGGGTTGGTATAGGCTTTGTTTCAAGATTACCTTCTATTTGCAGTGCTATTGTCCTGCATAGTTATACAAGCAGGGATTCAAAATGGAGTAGAGGAGATTGAATATAATTCCAATAAACCTAAATGCAGAATATAACTGCAGTAAGATTACAGGAACCGGACAATACTACACCAACCAGACGCTTGCACTCCCCAGTCCATCCGTTTAAGGAAATATCCCTTTCCTAATATGGCTTTTCCTACTTACGAACATTGTCTTCCATATTGAACTCACATTTCCCATCAAATTTCCTGAAGTATCCGGTTGACCGTAATGAGCAATAATTGGCAAAATATCTTTGTAATGTCAGGGAGGTCAGCCTCGTGTGCTAACACGTGCTCGATCCGGTAATTAAGTGATCAAGAGAAATTATACAGTCTGGTCACTTTCACAGTTTATAATAATTGAACTTTAAAATATTACTATTATGATTTTGGAGATGGATGGAGTTAAGCTCAGAGCGGACTCCTGAAGGCTTTAATCAGGGTGGCAACCGTGATAGGTGGAGAACACTTCTCTTGAAGCGACGACTGGAGTGAAGAGAGACCTGCGTGTTTGCTCCTCCTTATATCCTCAACACCGCTCCTCCCTGTGCGGCATGAGCGGTGAGGCGAGGTAGTCTTGGCGGTAGAGTGGACGGCGTCGCGTGACTGTGTAAGTATATATATGTATGTATTATACTCTTCTCCTGAAGAATCTTTGACCGACCAACGTTACTGCACTACGAAAGCACAAGCTAAAGACACATACTTACACACATAAAATAAACCGTTGAATACTTATACGCAATTATGCATTCAATATAAAATAAATACAATGTATAGTAACTTATTAACCTACATTAATTAATTACACATTCATGGACAGAAATACTTTTACTTTCTATAAGTAGTTAAGATGAATTTACATTCTAGCTCATCATAATACATACATAGACAAATATTTAACTTCCTATTGCTACTAAACTACATACGAGTATATAGGAAAGTGTTAACTGATGCTAGATTTATTAGATCTGTTTCTAATACTGAAACGTTCAAAGAAGTCTATTTTCAGGTTGATGACGGTGTGGAAAATACCTTTGAATCTACGGCTCCTGGGGGACGCCATAATGGTGATCTGGTGAGGATCAGTACCATGTGATTTCTATATCCCCCCAAATAGATTATCTATAGTGAGCGCTAATATGGTAGAAATTTCTATTTGTGTAGTCGTCAGTGATCTTGACTGTTAAGCCAGAAATAGTGGTCTCGACTTCCGCCAAGTGCACATAATTGTGTCATTAGTACGATCATTTGTTCCCTGTTTGGGTGTAATTTATCTCTGGTATGTTACTATTCAGAAATATATTAGTATATATATCAGCAACCAGAAGGAACATTCTCGTAATAAAAGTTCGGCTCAATTCGGTTCCGATCAGCTTTCGATCACACAACTGTCATAAAAGATATTTTTATAGCAAAGTATTAAACATCAAACGTTGACTGTAATGTGATTATATCGCATTGTAACTAAAAATTAAATCGGTAAGCTGCTAGTCTAGTAATACTTTAAGATTTTACTACGAAAATACCTTTTATGACAGTCGTGAGATCGAAAGTTGATCGGAACCGAATTGAGCCGAACTTTTATTACGAGAATAGTCCTCTGGCTGCCATAGTAAAGACTGAGTCTAATTTAGAATTTCGGGTGTGTAAAATATAAAAAGAATTACCCAAAAAATCTAATCCTTACGAATTACTTTTCCATATTTTTCTACTTTTATAACGGTTAATCGACTAGATATGTTAAAGAATGTAGGTCGCATGAGTAACATCGAAAACTCATTCATAACCTCCTCAAAATGGCAGTATCTTCATTATTTGATAATGATTATTTATTATTAATAATACTTGAATTATACTTCATAATCATAACACGTTCGATGCCGGCAGACACGCCCGATTGTAGTGGCAAACCTTGAAGGAGGCCTATGTCTAGTAACTCTAATGATGATTATACATGCATCTCCATCGAAGTTATTAACGTTACCATTCCTTGGTGAGGTGAGTGACGTGGTTGACTAACGTGATAACTAGAAACAAATAGGACAATTATTACTTATTATAAATTAATTCGTATTCACTTATGTTTACGACTTTAGTTGTTTTTACCCGACTTCAAAAAGGCGGAAGTTATAAATTCGGATGTTTTTTTTTCATCTATGTTCGGGCATAACTCCGTTAAATATAGACGAATTTTCAAATATATTTTTTTTTGAACGATGTTTATTAAGCTAAAGCGACTAGATTATAAGAATTATAACTATATATATATATATATATATATATATATATATATATATATATATATATATATATATATTTATAGATTATAATATATATTATTATTAAATTAGTTTGTACGCTTACAAACTAATTTAATAAATACCTCCTTACATTCTCCATCACCTTCTTTCCCTTTATCAACTATCAACCCACCGCTCACTTTGGAATTTTATCAACCATCTTCAATTTTTTTGCATATTGCGCTCTTGTTTTTAAATTACCTAAATAACTATGAAGATAGTTATAACAAAATGATTAGTTTGAGTCAAGGATTTATTAAATAATAATAATTACATAATTCCTAAAATAGTTAACTACCTACCTGTCTCATGGTGTTGAAAATTATTTTTTTTAATACTATGCTATGCACTTCTAGATC